AGAGAGACAGTCCATCCCGTCTAAACGTTTGTGATTTTTCATTTTCTTATCATCATTTTTTCTCGAGCTCCTTTTGCATCGACTGGTGCTGTCCATGAAAAACGAATTTTTTTTATTCTGCGTACTCTTGACCTTGCAATTCACGAGCGATGGGTTATTGATTATTTGCAAGCTCTGTGGACGTCGTCGTCGAGTGTCGCCGAACCATGTATATAATTATGTATGTGTACTCGTATATATTGGTCAAGCGAGTACAATCAGGAATCTCTATCTCTCGCACCCCCATTGGCAGGTGTGTTGACTAGACGTGTGGGAGAGCACGCGATGACACACATTCGGGCTCGGACGTCAGAATGGTGCTCTCAATCTACTAAGTACTGGCGCGCTCATGTTCTTGTCGTCCAGACTTTTTTTCCATATCGTCGATCGCCACGATGGATAAGCCTATACATGTATACCGTCGACGCTCGCTTTGTGGTTTTTTTCCTTATTGGAAATAATTCATTGGAACGTGTCAAATGATGCCCTACTAATGGTCGTGGCTTTTTCTTGTTTATACCCTATGAAAAAGAACAAAAAGTCACTGACACAGTCTTTCTTCCATCACTTGACAAAATGAAGTTACGTATAAAAGTACACACAGCTATAACTTATTTAATTTTTTTTTTTTTTTTTTTTCCCTTAACAATCGTCACCACCTCGATCATTCTTGTTTATCGGTGTACATTTTACCACGTAGTTTTCGAAGGCAAAAGTATTTCTTATTTCCAATAAATTGGCAAAAGCTATAATATATATATATATACGGTATAATGAAAATTTGGGACTGCATATCGATACGATGTTATGTATAACTGCACTGCTGGCATCGAAGAGAAATTAGTGTTAAATCAAATTCCGACAAAAATGAAAAAAAAGAAAAATATCGCGACATTGGTATTGTGTACTAATCAATGTAACATTATGTGTACTCATATATATATATATATATATATATATAT